CTTGTATATTCCCGGGTACAGCTGGAACCCATTCTACTAAGTGAAGTATCTCCAGAATGGAAAAACAAGCATCACATGTACTCACCAGCAAATTGGTATTAATGGATCAACACCTAAGTGGACATATAGGAGTAACATCTATCGGTGTTGGGAGGGTGGGAGGGGGGAGGAGGGGATGGGTATATACAACCATAACGAGTAAGATGTGCAATGTTTGGGAGATGGACACGCTTGAAGCTCTTACTCAAGGGGGGAGGGGGGCATGGGCAATATATGTAACCTTAACACTTGTACCCCCATAATATGCTAAAATAAAAAATAATAAATTTAAAATTAAAAAAATAATAAAAAAGAAAACTCCCAACATGAAAAGATAAAACAAGTAGAAAAAGAACCTAATGGAAGCAAAGAGGAACAGAAGAAAACAAACCAACCAGTAAATGACATCCTTGGGGTTTTGTATCTATAAAACAAGGGATACGGTACTATGAAAAATAAACAAAGACCAAGAAAGAACACACACAAAAGAGCAGGAATTTGAAGGCAGGTCTGCCAAATCCAAAATCCACTCTCTGCCCCTGTTTCTTCCTCAGTACCATGGGAAGAGTGCCATCTTTGCAAGCTTGTTAAGAAAATTAAATAAAGTATTTGTGTTTGCATGGACTAAGAGGCCACAGACTCACGGCCTCTTTGGCCAATTTAGCAGGAATGTGTTTAATTTGGCCAGTGCAGTGTTTTTGAATATATTTCAGTCTACATCAAACAGGCTCTTGTCTCCCATGAAGCACAACTCCCTCCACGCCTTGATGTCCCACCCCACGGACCGGCTAATTAACCTTAGCCAAGGGGCCCCTACAATTACAGGGGTTTGCAAGCCCCCGCCACACAGCACAGGGAAATGGAGCGGAGGCGCTCTGCCCCCAGCGGCCCGCGGATGGGGTGAGACACACAGGGGGCCGTGCGGCTGGGCGTCTCCTCCCCACCCTCCGCTCCCACGTGTCTGCTTCCCCAGTAGCACGCCAGGAATCACAGCTGCTCCTCCCCTCACAGAAGAGAGAAATCTCTTTTTTTATTCATATTTTTATTGTGGTAAAATATACATGACATAAAATGTACCATCTTAACCTTTTTTGAATGCACGGTTCAGTGGCATGAAGCTCATTCACGATGTTGTGCAGTCATCACCATCATCCATTTCCAGAACTTTCTCATCTTCCCAAACTGAGACTCTGTCCCCAGTAGGCACCACCTCCCCATTCCCCTCCCCACCTCCACCCCCAAACTCTGGAAACCCTCATGCTACTTTCTGTGCCAAAGAGAGTGAGCTAACTGGTCCTTCCCTAATGGGGGCACCTTGGTTAGCAGTTAGACAGCGCCAGGACTTCCCACCTTCCCTGTCTCATGCTGCGTCTGTGGAGGGTAAGGCTGTTTGAGAAACTGAACATTTTGGCCTGCGTTAGAATGCTCTGTATTCACATAGATCATGGAGTGGGGTGATAGTTTTTTTAATAACTTTATTCTTGTATTCCTCAACTACTCACCCTGGAGGAAGACTCCTGGGAGCCAAACTCCCAGGACAGATCAGGATTGCGACCCAAAAGCTGGAGCTCAAATCAGCCTGAGATGGGAATGGTGGAAGGGCTGAGAGTCCCTCCTCCATCACATGGGATGTAGTCTGTCTTTGCTCATAAGGGGAAATTCTGTATTTCTGGGTCCCCTATTAAATGATCAGAATTAGCCAATTAATTGCGCAGCAATTAGCAAATATTAAATATATTGTGATTGCTCACAATATAGCAGCAATACCTGCAAGAAATAGAAGACCTACCTGGTTCCAGGCCTCAGAAGCTTACAGCTCTGTCATTAGGAGATGGACCTCAAGACCTCCTCTCTGAGGCACTGCCACCTAGAAGGGCATTTCAGAAAGTGTGTTCTGTGGAACAGTAATTCCAGGACATGCATAGGGAGAAAACTTCAGTAGCCAAATGATTTGGTAAAACATTGTTTGTGGAAAGTCACAGAGCCCATTAGCATATTAAAGTTTGGGAGAAAATCAATTTAAAATTTATTTGGAATTTTCTTTTAAAGTTGCATCGTTGACAGCCCACGAAACTAAGTGTTGTCAGAGCCTACTCTGAAACACCGTCCTATAACAAACAGCTGCTTAAGACCTGCTCCTTCCTTAAACTATGAGAGATCTTAGGGTTTGGAGCCAATGTGCCATTTTCTCTATTGCTAATTTAGTATGCTTTAAGATTTCTGACTATGTAACTGAAGTCAGTAGTCACCCCATAGACAGTGTATGGAAAGTACAATGTGGCAGAGGCTCTTAGTTGCCTCATAATATCCTTTCTTCCCTTCTTATTTAGTCACATACCCTTGATTTTATTTGTAGATTGCAACATGCCCAACTTACAAATTACATTTCCCAACCTCCTCTGCAGATGGATACCTTTATAGGTATTTCCAAGAACTATTAGTACATTCTGGCCAATGAGGCAGCGCTGCTGGGACTTCAGGGAAGATTTCTTAACGGTAGCTAACCCAGCTGGGTAGCAAGCCCATTTTGCCCTTTCATGGCTCCTTTTCTTCTTCTATCTGGGATGCAGATGTGACGATAGGAGCTCCATCGGCCACTTTGAACCATGCGAATACCCTGAAAATGGAAGCTATGCACTGAGGACGTGGGACCAGAAATGCAGAAGGGGCCTTAGCCTCTGCCAATGTCGTGAACTGCCGTGCCAGCCCAGGAATGCCTATATCCGGACCTGATGACAAAATTAGCTCTCATATGTTTAAGTCATACTACTGGGGATTTTCTTCTATATGCCGTGGAGCCAAATCTTAACCAAAGAAAAGAGAATAACTCCTTGAGAGAGTTTTTTGATATTTCTGGTGCAAGAGATCTGACTATCTTTCCAATAAACTTCCACCTTCCCAGCTGTTGTTCCAAGTGAACCCTGATCTACTGCCTGATAGAAAACAGCAAGTCCTGCCTAGGAGCTCCTCCTCACCCCAGAATTTTGGCCTGTGGCCTCTTGTCCTTTCTACAGGACAGGAATTATATTTCTCTAGCCAGACTCCTTACAGAGTTACACACGACTTTCCACCAATCTTTGCTTTCATGGTATAAATTTCACCTGTAAATCTCATTCTCATTTTCCTGCATGCCATGTTCCTTTTGAATGGAGGCTCTCACCACAAGGTTGCCATGTCACTTGGCTGTGATTTTTTTCTCCAGGTTCCTACCCTTTTTTCTCCATCTGTCAGGAATTGAGTTTCCAGTAAGAGGAAGTTTCTTTTTGATTCAGCAAATTGATGTAAGAAGAGGAACAAAACTATATTTAGAATGTTTGACCTTTTGCATTTGTCTGACCTCAATTCAAGAGTTCCTTATTTAATTCTGTGTGTAGACAAAAATGAAGTGAGGCCCCCCATAGAAACAAAAGGTGTTTTCAGAGTGAAAATATTTGCTTATTCATCTCAGAAATAATATCATCTAAGAAAAAGTTTATGACAAAGTTTGTTTTCTTCTTTTTTTAGAGAGAGAGAAGAGGTCTCTTGCTCTATCTCCCAGGTTGGAGTACAATAGCACGAGCATAGCTCATTGCAGCCTCAAACCCCTGGGCTCCAGCTATCTTGAGTGGATGGATGGATGGGTGGATGGGTGGGTGGGTGGGTGGGTGGGTGGATGGGTTCATGGATGGATGGATGGGTGGGTGGATGGGTGCATGGATGGATGGGTGGGTGGATGGGTGCATGGATGGATGGGTGGGTGGATGGGTGCATGGATGGATGGGTGGGGGGATGGGTGCATGGATGTGTGCATGGATGATGAGTGGGTGGATGGATGGTGGGTGGATGGATGGAAGGGGGAAGGGAGAGAGAAAGGGAGAGAGATGGGGAGAGAGAGGGAAACTATTAGAATCATAAGATAACTGAGAGAAAATCTAGTTCAATTCCCTTCATTTACTGATGAGGAACCCGAAGCCTAGAGAGCTCCCCTAGTGACACCTAAAATCCAAGACTCCTGACTGCCAGCCCAGAGGTCTACCACTGCTCCTTTGCCTTAGTCCCAGTGCAATTAACCAGGTTAAACTAACTTATTCTGCAATGCGAAGCGACTACCAAATCTTTGTGGCTCAAAACAATAATGGTTGATGTCTTGCCACCCTGCATGTCCACAGCTGGTTGGCAGGAGGGAACTCTGCCATCTCAGCGTCAGGAACTCAGGCTGACAGGGTTCCACCATCTGAGGTCATAGCCATGTCCACAAGTCTTCAAGGTCATGGCCACAGGGAAAGAGAGCATAGGGGGTCTCTCAGCAGCTCTTCCATGCCTCTGCCCAGGAGTGACCTGTGCCACTGTCACTTCTATCTCATTGGCCAGAGCAAGTCCCTGGGCAGGGGGGAAAGGTAGTGCTCCTTATGTCCAAGAAGGGGAGAATAAAAATATTGGGGAGCACTAGAAATATCTTCCCCTAGCCTTGTTTGCAGTCACTATCTAATGACCCACAGAGCAACTTTCAGAAAGGTCCACACCTGCCATGTGTGTCTTACAAAGGTGGGGGAGGCAAAGGCAAGACTGTCCTGCAGAACTTTTCTCAAGATGCCGTAGAATTGCCCTCTGATGGAGGCCTGGAGAAATCACAGCCCAAAGCCATGGAGACCCCTCAGCACCTCTGGCTCTTTGTCACCAAACCTGTGAATAGGAAGATGGAGACTTAAGGCTTTAAATGCATGACACCACAGCCATGGAGAGCACTGTTTTTAGAGCAAGCCACGTGGCTGAGCTGACAGTCTTTGGGGAATGTTAAAGCTGGAGGAGCCGTTTCCCCCTTTATTTCCTTTGATGGTCCCCGTAACTGGCTCTGTGAACAGACCTCAGTGACCTTTACGTTTCCTACTGTCCCCTCCCTCTCATGCTCTGCACTCTCAGGCCAGCAGGGTTTGACGACCAGAACCCAGGAATTTTTAACAAACTACTTGACTTTTTTCCAGTTGTTTCCCAGAAAGAACAGAATTTCTGCAAGACAAAGGAGCTGAGATTCTGAAGGGCCCAGAACAGACTTCCTGACACCAAGATGCAGTGTCCCTGGCTGACCGGCCCCAGCGCGCAGCCCCTGTTAAAAAGCCCGCACTTTCTGTGAGTCGGAGAGGTGGGTGGGAGGCTGCCCCTCCCACCATCCTGGCTGACAGCAATCGCAGCAATCCCTTTCTTCCCCGGCAACCCGGCTCAGCAACTGGCTTTCCGGCAGCGAGAAGCAGGGCGGAGGCCAGACCCTCTGGGGTTTGAAACACCCCCATCAATAGTATGTGTCATTATTGTCATTTAACAGATTAAGACTGAGACTCAGAGGATTAAATAGAGCTGACCAAGTGTATTAGTCAGAATAAGCTGTGTTGTCCTGTGCTAAAAACAAAACAAAACAAAAAAAAAACTGTAAAATCCTGGTGCCTGCACACACATGCTCTTGCTCACAGTGTCCCACGTGGGTGTCAGAGAACTCTGCTCTCCGCCTCCACGTCGGGCCCAGCACGACGGAGCTTTGCTGCCCTGCATCGCCCGCGTGGGGAGCACGTGTCCTTCTGTGCAGCCGCGGCAGAAGGAAAGGAGTGGACCAGTGGTCGGGATGTTTTGCTGGCTCGTGACAGGAGCCATTGCCACTCCCTGCCCATTGGCAGCATTGGCGGTGTGACTCTCCGCCTGCAGCGGCCAGGAGTGCAGGTCTCTGTGTGGGCAGGACAGGAGAGAAGCTGGCAATGTCCACTGAGCCAGAGTGGTCAGGAGCAGAGCGGGCTCCCAAACCCAAGCGGTGCATGTTTCCTTTTAGTGTTCCTTTGAAGTAGCCAGAGTAAATGGCTTGGAGTAAAAAATTCAGCTAGGGTCTAGTGCAATGACCTTGGGCCAGTTGCTTTACTTACCTGAGTTTCAGTCTGCTCACTTGTAAACAGGAATAATAAAATCTGCCTAAAGGTTGCTGTGTTGTGAGGATTACGAGAGCTCGTGAATATTAAGCGTGGCATGCAGCACCCAGCACACACTAGGCACACATTGTTGCTGCAGTAGTGAGCGAGTCAGTCACTTGACCGCCCCCCACCCCGAATCTCCTCTGTGGGCTCTTGGGCTGGATCTAGAAACCAGACTGACACCAGGCAGAGGGACAAGAGGGAAGCTGGCAAGCGATCTTCACAGGAGAGTGGAGTCTGAAGCAGTAGCCAAAGCAAGATGCGTTCACACTTTTAGACCAAGAAAGAGAGATTGAGGAAGAAATGACAGGACAAAGGGGGTGTGGCTAGAAGCAGCAAATTTCTGGGGGAGTCATAGGAGATACATGGGGAGTATAAACAGCTGGTAGCTAAGCATTGCTTCATTGAGCATGTGTGTTCAGGTCCACTGCAGCCTCAGTGCCCAGCTCTGGTGCTGAGCGCTATTCACTGGCCCTGGTACAGGGAGGGGCCTCCGGAGGGGGCTCCACTCTTATTGCAGGCAGGAGGAGACAGGTCAGCACACTTTTCCTAAAACTACAATTTCTCCAATGTTTTCAACTTGACATAATCAATACACCGGTTGGGCATATTTTGGGATGGAACATCCTTCACTCCTTTCACTGTTGAGGTTGTAGTTTCAAAGCCATACAATACTGTTGTGGCCTTTTCTTTGATGTCAGGAGCAGACAGTGCTGGCTGGCTGATCAAAACACCTGCCTCTTCTCTGTGGATCTCAGAGCTTGTCAGAATGACACTCCGATGACCTAACTTTACCTCTGACACCGTGCTGGGGCTGACAGTTTATCACACTGTCGCTGACGAAAGCCTCTCGTGGACGCACCAGCGAGTCTAGGTTCTTATTATGAACTCACTATTTTATCCAGCAATTCAGCACATACTTATTAAGCACCTCCCTGGATTATTAGGTGCTATTCTCTGTGCTGAGAATAAAGTGGTAGAAAAAACAAATAAGACTCCTGCTCTCATGGCGCTTCCAGTCATTGAAGAATCACACAGTTCTCTCGCAGTGTCTTTGGAAATGCAGGAAGAGAAAACACTCCTTGCAGGTGAAGTGAGCCGGGAGCTCTCCGGCAAACAGCACTGTCACGCTCTGTACCCACATTGGAGCGTGGCTTCAGGCACACCCATCTGGGACACCTCGTAGGTGAGCCTGCTGCCATGCGCCAGCCACCCAGGCCCCCAGGACGCCCCACTCGCATGGCCTCGAGGCATTCACCCGCTTCTAACCATCCCACCTACCAGCCACATAATTCAAATAAACCCTGGCCCCTTCTGACCCTCTGCAAGTTGCCCTCCACCCCAGCACGGTGGGCGGCGTGTGCTCCTCCATACAGTGGCCGGAAACCTAAGCCTCGCCTGGCTCAGGTTGCCGGCTTGTTGGAAGCGCAGCTCGGGCGGCAGCCCCCCAGTTGCCAGAGAGAGCCACAAGCTTCCTGGCTGCACGGGACTCCGGGAGCCACTCATGGGAGGTCAGGCTGGAGTCTGTTTGTTCACCTTCCCCGGTGATTCCATGAGCCATTTAATATCCTGTAATAAATCCCTTTCTGCTCACGCTACCGAGAGTGGATTTGGTGCTATAACCAAACCTAACCCACACTGAGAGTGGCCTCAGGAGGGCTGGCGAAGAGAGCCTTGGGAAAGAAAACCTAAGACCCATTAGCTCAGTGGTTTTCACACTCCTGGGTCCAAATGTATACAGATAGTTTTTCAAAAATTTCTTTCCAGATCCTCACCTTCTATATACACTCTTGCCTCACGGATGTGGTTGAATGCATACATTGTAAAAGAAAGCAATTGCCCTGAGCCTTCCCAAATTTACTTGTGAGTTTAGAGACCTTCAAATGCCAAACACAAGGAAAGGCTTTTCTGATAACTAACCAGGCACCCTAAACCCTCCTGCCTTTCCATCTCTCCTTGTCTCTGGTACTTCCTGCTAAGGTAGAGGCTTGGCTTTAGTAACTGAGCATTTTGCCTGTGCTGTGCTGTCCTGAATTCAGATAGATGATAAAGTGATGTGGTGAGAGTAATGCCCAGCATTGTGTAATGACTTCATCTCTGACACCCTTCAATTACTGTCTGCTATCAAAGAAGGCATCTTTCCAGAGGAGTCCTGTGAGTACTTGAGTAAGAAATGCTATGCGATTTTGGAAACAGAACTAGGAAAGAATTGGACGAATTGACTGACATTTCTATAACAAAACCCTTCCCATTCCCATCAGCTTTATTTTGTGATCAGGGCTTTCCAAAGCACAAAAAGTAGGAAAAGACTTAAGGCAGGACCAAGTTGCATTCTGGTATATTCATCCTGCTACCTTTTAAAAAATTCATCATATAAATGATGCATTTCGAATAAAATTTGTTCCTTGTATTTAGTAACACAATTGTGTTTCATCAATATGTGTAATAGACGTATGTCATTTTCATTATTCCGTTTATTAGCAACAATTGTAGTGATGACTCAACCTAGAAGACACCTTATACTCCTAAAGTCTTTTGGTCACAGGAAATAGAGAACATTTTAAAATTTCAATTCACATACAATTTTTGGTTGCAGAAAACGGTTTTCAATAAATATTTCAAGCATAAATACAGGATGAACCTTGAAAACATTATGCTCACTAACAGAAGCCAGTCACGAAGGACCGCACAGTGTGCGGCTCCATTTATGTGAAATTTCCAGAACAGGCAACTCTATAGAGACAAAACAGATTGGTGGTTGCCTAGAACTGGGTGCGGGAGGGAGGAGAGATGGAGGAATTGTGGGTGACAGTTGAGGGGTGCGATGCTTATTTGAAACACAAACATTCTAAAACATATCGTGGCCGTGGATGCACAGCTCTGGGAAGCCACTACGAGCTGCTGAGTTGTGCACCCAGTGAGTTACACGGTGTGTGAATTACTCCCCAACAAAGCCATTTGCAATGCACAATGCATTAGGATAGAATTCTGAGGAGAATGTGGAATGCAAATATAAGCTCAAAGAGCAGAAAGAAAAATGTAAAGTTTTCAAATACTAAGGAGATTGTTCAAATATTTTTACAGTGGATAATAGTAAGTAGCATATCATCATAGTGTTTAGACTCCATGGATACTTTTTTAAAAGTTACATAATATTGATAGCTGTGTCATAATGTCACAATTTACAGTTCAGATGAAGATTTACCATGAAGCTAACGAAGCCTAAACTTCAGTCTTTCATTGGCATGGGCCACCTACCTCCAAGGCCTAGAGGTGGCCCTTCTGGGTCACATATTTTAGTAAAATTTGCAAGAGTAAGACCTTTGAACCATGATGGGTTAATACCTCCCTTTACACTCCCTTTTGTCTTCCTTCTCCTCACATGAAGTGGCATTGCAGTGGCCACAGACCCTTTTGAAAGTTCACTGACTGAATCGGGTTAAATAACTTAGTTTGGATTTAATGGGCTGTATTTATTGTTCATGGTCACCTACACACATGTAATTATTGCTAGCCACCCTGGTGTATGAATGACTCCCAGGAACATTCTTCCTACCCATGGTGCTGAGGGCCAGAAGTTATACTGTGATACTCATTTTCTGTGGTGCCTGCATCATAAACACATGGACAGTAGAGACGAAATAAGAGTAGAAATGTACAAAACCAGAAGTAAGTCTGGACAAAAATAGTATAGAGATGCATGAGGCAGATCATGAATAAAAATATATTTTTCTTGGATTTTTGTCATGTCAGATTTTTAAATTTTATAATGTTCTGTGATCCATTTTAACTATTTACATTTAGAAAAATGTGAGCTGTCAAGTTAAAAATGTGTGAAGGGTACTTTGCTTTTCAAAAACAGTTTCAGGCATATATGAGGGGGGAAAAAGAATGAAGACCACACGTCATCAAACGTGGCTGGCTTGAAGCACTTAGGGTCCTGTCGGCATCAGAAAGTGGGACGCTGGTGCTCCGTGGGAAGGCCACAGAGCGGTTACTTGAACTTTGCCTTTCAGAGTTGAGGTTATGGGAGTCAAGTGACAAATGGAGTTTGAGCCCAAGTTATTCTCATTGTCAACCTTGTGGGTCTATAAACTTATCCCATGATTATTCGCCTAGTTTCTGAATGCAGAGCATTCTCTAGGGAGGAGCTATGCATAGAGAACCACCTCGCCTGCAGGACCCCCACTCTCATCCCTGACGCAAGAAGTGAGAAGGACTTCTTACAAAGGTAAGAAGGTCCACGTGGAAGACCCTGGAACTACTTCTTCCTAGCAAAAAACTCAATCAAAAGCAATATCACATCCCTGGATGAACTGCCAAAAACTAGAAAGGTGTAGGGATGACGATTTCTGTTATATCCACTTAACTCACCTGCTTGGCCTACGTAGGATACAGATAGTTGTTGGAGGATAACAGTCGTTTACTATTAATGTATTAATAATAAGCTTATGGCTCCAATTGTAGCTAATGTTCTAGATACAGTTTCATGACTACAGCAAATTGACACAGCCTCTGGCACCCAATATGCAGCTTCTAATTTGGTAAATATTTCTTCTATTTCCCAATAAATCCACCAGAAGCAATATTCTTTCACCTGGTAGGGACAGCAATACATCTTTGTAGCCTATATCAGGCTCTGCCTTCTCTCCTAATTACATCTGCAGAGAACCATGTTCACGTCACTGTCCCAGAAGATATCACCTTGGTGCTGTCATTCTTACAACATCTAGCGAGAAGGAACAGGTCATCAAAGAGTAGAAAGTTATGCCCAAGAATTCAAGGACCCGCTCTCTCAGCAGAGTTACTGTGCACAGGAATCTAGGGAGTGGTCCCATTATTACCATCTGCACACTGCTAATAAAGAGCCAAACCACTTAATCCAACACTTCTGATTGAGAAACTAATCTGTACCACATGTGCATTGCAGCTCTGATCCATTTTCTGAATAACCTGTTAGATTGCCAGCTTTGAGAAGAACCCAGGGCAGGTTGTTAAGCCCATGTGCAAGTAGCTTTACCCTCGGGCCTATGATGGCTCTAACAGGGCCTGAAGTGTCTATGGGAATCAGGTGTCTAATGGTGCCTGCAGAAGCCCTAAAGGAAACCCACAGCCAAGGCTATATTCCAGCCATAGACCTAACGGAAGATTATAGCATCCGAATACAAGGAAGATTGTACAGAACAGGACCTCTCATGAATGCAGACTTAGATCACCCTGCTAGATAAACAGCTCTAACTGGCAGAGGTGCTAGATGAGGGGAAAGGGAAAATATTATAGAAAATGTAAGGAATTTTGAAGACTCCAACCTCAGACTCACAAGTGTTGGAAAAAAGAAGACTCCAATAGCATTATTTTTCCTTCTTTGCTCCATTACATCCAATTTACGTTTTTCCTCCCCTTTTCCCTTAATATTTTATATTGAATATGTTTTATATAAGATGTGACTTTATAATTTGGTCTTTAGTTTATATCAAGATAGGATTAAGACGGAACTAGAATAGAACACAGAACGGAGACTAGAATGCAGAATCTCCGTGAGAAAAGGCTACAGTGGCTGAAGGGACTTATGACTCCTCTTCTGGGAAGAAAATAAGGTAAATGTTTTCTTGCATGAGGAAGTACTGACATCTGAAATCTTAAATTTGGGAAGAAGGAAGTGTGTGGGAGCTGACTAAAGGTGGAGACTGTGCCATATGCTGTGGATTGAACCAGCCAGCGGCCCTGCCGACGGCCTCCTGGTGCGCTCCGGGTGTCGCAGGGCCGGACCACTAGAGAGTTTTCACCATGTCCCTTCAGCGCCGTAGCGTCCAGGCTCATACAGGGATTGGAAGCTCAACTGCTCGGGAACAGCAATGCAAGATCAGGAGGACACATTTCCAATATTTTTCTGACAAGTACCATCATGGGGCATCAGGCTTCCCCTGAAAGCATGAGGGGGGCTCAGTGTCTGCTCTGTGGGGTGTCACAAAGCCCTGCTCCGAGAACCCACTTTGCGGTGTGCATTGCACAGGCACGGCACTAGCAGCAGCTTTCTCCTCGTGGGAGTTTGCCGATTGTGCCAACTACCAGGGCAGCTTCCTGGCCATGCCAGGTGGCACAGTTCTGGAGCTAGCAGCTGTGGCCACCATTTCCCTAATTGCTTGGTGTCTCTGAATTAGAGAAGAGACAATGGTTTCTTCAGTTCTTCAGGGTGGCTTTGAGTAGTGTTCTTAAAAGATCAGTCTGGAATCTGAGTCTTTAGTCTTCCCGAAGAGTCTGTAAACCACTTACTATCCTGCCATAAATCCCTCTCTGCTTAAACTAACTAGACTGAATTCTGCTCTCTGTAAACAAACCTGGGCAGTAGACCATATAACCCTCTGCTATTCCTTTCCCTATATAGCCTTTTTTCCCCCAAACCAAATCACTACACATAGCTCTAGAATATATTATTAATTCTTCTTGGCCAAACCACAGGCTTTCCCTCTTTTAAAAATTTCAATTTGAGACTTACCCTCCGTGAAGCCATTTAAGATGGGTTCAAAAACACACCCCATTTCCTCTGAAACTGTAACCCAGACACTCAGTAATGACTCCTTGGGGGCTCTGAGAACGTTAATCAGTTTGAGAACCTGAGTCAGAGAGCTTCCCTTGGGAAGCATTTTTCACATAAAGTAAAAGTGCTTTGACCTTAGCATGGCAGCTGAGGACTTAAAAGCTGGAATTTAAGGCTGGGATGGCAAAAGATGTGCGCACTCCTTCCTGTAGTGTTCCAGACTGTTTCTCTTCTGCTTTCCTTCTCTCTTGGCAATTGGCAGCAAAGCTAGATGACAGTTTATCTCCAGTGAGGATATTCATTCAGGGGGAAATGCACAAATCTGTCAGCAAAGCATCTGCACCTTCCAGGAGACCTGGGCCCAGAGCCGGCCCCCGCACCTGCGCAGCGCAGGCTCTGGGCGGCCCTGGCTGGCCGGCACGCTTCCACCTGCTGACCGTTTTCACAAAAGCTTTTCAAAGGAAAACTGATTGAGGAGTGGTCATTCCAATAAATACGGCGCATGATCACTCAAATATGTGCGAAATCATTAGAAAAATGCATCAAATATATTTGCCTCTATCTGCCATTTTCATTCCAACTCGTTGCTTTTTTTAACGTGTTCCCGCCTTACTCGGAAGCTGTGCCACGGCCCTCTATGAAGAGTAGCGTCCGACTGACAGCGGCGCCAGGAAACTTAGAAATTTAAAAGAGATGATAATTGGCAAGTAATGACATTGTCTATGTTTTGATGTATTTTTTGAAAAATGCAAGGCAAACTAGTTGGTGAATTCTGTATGTCCATGTTCTGTTTCCCAAACTCAATATTCTTTGAATAATAAAACCAACACTTTCTCTAGCAATTTGTGTGAACTATCCATCAATAAAAATTTAGGATTTGAAACTAAAGCATATTTGAAGAGATCCCTTAAT